TGTGGTAGCCCTTCCCATCACAGGCCCAGAGGTTTAGGAGGAAAAAAATCGTTTCCCGGGTCAGGCCCAGGGTCCCTATGCTGCATGCCATCTAGGGACTTGGTGCCTTGCAACTCAGCTTCTCCAGCCACGATTAAAAGAGGCCAAGGTACAGTTCAGGCTGTTGCTTAAAAGGTAGAAGCCCCAAGCCCTGGCAGCTTCCACAAGGTGTTGAGCCTGCAGGTGCACAGAAGTTAAGAACTGAGGTTAGGGAACCTCTGCTTAGATCTCAGAGGATGTATGAAAATGCCCGAATGCCTAGGCAAAAGTTTGCTGCATGGGCAGGGCTCCCATAGAACCTCTGCTATGGCAGCACAAAAGGGAAACATGGGGTCAGAGCCCCAACACAGAGTCCCTACTGGGGCTCTGCCTAGTGGAGCTGTGAGAAGAGGGCCATCATCCTCCAGATCCCAGAAGGGTAGATCCACTTACAGCCTGTACCATGTTCCTGGAAAAGCCATGAACACTCAATGGCAGCCTGTAAAAGCAGCCAGATGGGAGGCTATAACCTGCAAAGCCACAGGAGAGGAGCTGTTCAATACATGACAACCCACCTCTTGCATCAGCGTAACCTGGGTGTGAAACATGGAGTCAAAGGACATCATTTTAGGGCTTTAAGATTTGACTGCCCTGCTGGATTTCAGAATTGCATGGGGCTTGCAGGCCTTTTTTGTTGTTCAATTTTTCCCATTGGAATGGCTGTATTTACCCAATGCCTGTACCCTCATTGTATCTGGGATGTAACTAAGTTGCTTTTGATTTTACAGGCTCATGGGCTGAAGGGACTTGCCTTGTCTCAGATGACATGTCCAACTATGGACTTCTGAGTTAATGCTAAAATGAGTTAAAACTTTGGGGGAGTGTTGTGAAGGCATGGTTGATTTTGAAACGTGAAGACATAAGATTTGAGAGGGGCCAGGAACAGAACGATAAGGTTTCCTTGTGTCCTCACCTAAATCTCATCTTGAATTCCCATGTGTTTTGGGAAGGACCTGGTGGGAGGTAATTGAATCATGTGGGCAGATCTTTCCTGTGCTAACTTTTTTTTTTTTTTTAGACAGAGTTTCACTCTTGTTGCTCAGGCTGGAGTGCAGTGGCATGATGATCTTTGCTCACTGCAACCTCTGCCTCCCAGGTTCAAGCAATATTACTGCCTCAGTCTCCTGGGTAGCTGGGACGACAGGCACATGCCACTATACCAGGCAAACTTTTTATATTTTTAGTAGAGACAGGGTTTCACTGTGTTAACCAGGATGATCTCAATTTTCTGAGCTCATGATCCACCTTCCTTGGCCTCCCAAAGTGATGGGATTATAGGTGTGTGCCACCACGCCTGGGCTCAGTCTGGTGGTTTTAAAAATGGGAGTTTTCCTGCACAAGCTCTCTTCTCTTGTCTGCCACCATGTGAGACATGCCTTTCAGCTTCTACCATGATTGTGAGGCCTCCCTAGCCATGTGAAATTATAAGTCCATTAAACCTCTTTTTGTGTGTGGATTGTCCAGGCTTGGGTATGTCTTTACTAGCAATGTAAAAACGGATAAATACAAGGTCTTCCTACAATAGGTACCAACCCTCAAGTCTCTGTTATATGCAAGATGTTACCCAAAGTGATTTTTCTAGGTATTTCCAATATCAACTAGTGAAACAGGAGTTATTGTCTCCCTCTTAAAGATAAAAATACTGAGATGCAGATGACCTGTCTTAGATCACAAGATCTGCCTTGGGGCAGAATTTTAAAGCAGGGCTTTAAATTTTCTACTAAGCCAAAATGATTAATTTTGTCTTTTTGTTTTTTTCACTGAAAGACATATAGTCCACCATCTTAAATTTCATTAATAGCTTTAGAGTCCCATCTATTTATTAGTCAAGTATAGTTGTAAAAATAATTTTATCTTTTGTAAATAAAATTAATACATAAAATACACAATAATTAACTATATATAGAAACTATATAGTTTCTTGGAGCCTCAGTTACCTTTGAAAGGATTTTGACAACATAAAAAAATTAAAATAATTTTATTAAAAAACCTCCAAATTTGGGCATATTATCACCTTGATTTTTAATGTGTTCTATAACTTAATTGAATTATTTCAGTAAAAATAAAAATTGGAAGTAAAACACATATTGGAACTTAATCTATTGCAACATATTTATTAGCAAAACTACTAAGCACTGGTTGGTAATCGGGCATGAAGCACTAATATGCAGTGCTACTCTGTGATATTCCTGAAAGGTGTATGATCAGCTTGAGTTATGTTGTCATTCTAAGAAGGTTTTTATTCATATAAAAAATGGCAAATCTATCCCAATCTCTTGCCCCTTTCTCTACTAAACCTCCACACTTTCTACAATCACAATACAATTGATTGATTTAGTATAATTAGGCTCATAGAAAACCAATTCATTTAAAAACCATGAAGCCATGAGAAATGCTAAGAAATAATCAGACTTGACTCACTCTCAATTCATTTGATTTGTGAAGAAAGAGCTCCTTAAAGGTAAACAATAAATATTAGTTAGCTTTGGTTCAAGTAGGACATTCGATACCCAGAGAAAAATAAGCAGGAAAGTGAATAAAGCAGTAGTCACATTTCTGAAGAATGAAGTCTGTGGATTGCAAGTGACAGGTTCAATTACTGGTCCATGGGCCACTGACACATCTGCCTTAAACTCTGAGGAATGGGCAGTGGAAAAAGGATGAATAACTCTCAAGATTTAGAGAAAATATGTAACCACTCAGGCAGAAAATTAGCAATTACATTTCGTGCCATCAGTAATAACTATTTCAACAAAGATCTTAGGTTAACGTCAGACTATGTGACAGTATATCAACTATTACACCTGTGTTCAATCAGCAACCACATCCCTCAATGCTATACTGAGCTGTTTAGTTCAAATGTGGCTTGTTCAGTGAAAAGCAAGATGGCTGACATCTGTTACAGAAGTATTCAAAGGCAATTTATTTCACAGTTTTGATGCTGACTGTTGTAAAAAGAAAAATTTTATAAAATTTGGACAGTTGCAATTTGTTCAGGTGTTCTTTTGACTTTTTAATAATAAAATTATAACATTATTAAAGATAAAATAGAAAACTATATAAGTAGGTCAGTAAGAATTTTTCAGAGAAGAATTTTTCAGATTTAAAGTTACATAAAATGTCAAATGTAATAAAACTATAAATTCATAATATTATTTTTATGTTTCAGAGTAAAGGCATAAAGCTTAAAAATAGAAACAGAAGCATCTGATTCTATAATGAATTATCTTCTCTATATTTTTAATTTAAATCTGATTTGATGTTTTAGATCTAGCCAATAAGGTTTTATATTTTAAATATTTAGTTAAAAATAACATGAGAATTATAATTGATTTCTTACCAATAAATAAATACAACTAATTTAGCCAGGAGCCCTATCATCTTAAAAATTTACAATCAGACATGTGCAATGGATAAAAATAACACAAAGCTCCTGAACACTTGAGCAAATGGCTAATTATGAGATTATAATATAACAATATCTATAAAAGTAATTCTAGGTGGAGTTAACAAGTGGCTATATTTAGTCTCAAAAATGTATTGGAAAATAGCCTTTTCAGATATAACAAGAGAGAGATAAGATCTTACTTTTTATCATTAAGCTTCATGAGCCGGATACAATATATTGTCATTCTGGAAGTCACACTAGTTATAATTTTATAAAAATTATTTGTGTGACAAAAAGCAAGTAAATTGAATTTCTTCAAATTAAATCATTAGATGATTTTTATTTTGCTCTGACATCAAATTTATATTAGTGATGTTTCAGACCTAAGATAAATTTTTTAACATATAGAATAAGCTATTCAGATATGATATGTACTAATTTATAAATAATTAGTATAGCTGGTATTAGTTCAATGACATATGCATAATATGTCTATATGTATAGTCATATATGTATGAATTTTATATATATTTATAGGTTATATAGAATATATAATGTTTTACATAATATGTATTTTATGTATATATTTAATAATCAAAATATAATTGTTGGTTTACCTTTTTACATTGTGTGGGATGAGATCAGATTATTGTGAAAGAGTTGATTCTTCTAAAAGACCCTTCAATATTACCCTTGAAACCAGATAATCACCTTTTTGCTCATGTATGACTCTGTCTTGAATAATGGGACAAATACCTACACAGACACACACACACACACACACACAAATGATGATGAATGTGACAGTGATAGATAAAATAAAGCACTATGTAAAGCACATTATCCTATTCAATTTACATAATGAAGTATAAGTGCATATTTAGAAGTTATGTTGCCTTGCAAATTAGACATTTTCCTGAAAACTTGTTTGAAACAAACAATGGTAAATCACAGATATTTTACATTGTCTAAAGAATCACTTTAGACAATGTAAAAAACACTTTTCAAAAGTGAAGGCTACTTTTATTTCCTCCAGAGTTAGTCTGGTAAATTCCAAATATATGTATTTATATTTACGTTCATATTCTTTTTTTTTTTTTTTTTTTTTAGACGGAGTTTCACTGTTGTTACCCAGACTGGAGTGCAATGGCACGATCTCAGCTTACCGCAGCCTCCGCCTTCTGGGTTCGAGCAATTCTCCTGCCTCAGCCTCCCGAGTAGCTGGGACTACAGGCACTCACCACCATGCCCAGCTAATTTTTTGTATTTTTTTTAGTAGAGACGGGGGTTTCACCTTGTTGACCAGGATGGTCTCGATCTCTTGACCTCATGATCCACTCGCCTCAGCCTCCCAAAGTGCTGGGATTACAGGCGTGAGCCACCGTACCCGGCCTATGTTCATATTCTTAAAGCACGTACAACTAAACTTACTTTATAAATACAGATCCCTCCTGTATTAGGGTTCTCTAGAGGGATAGAACTAATAGGATAGATGTATATATAAAGGGGTGTTTGTTAAAAAGTACTGACTTACGTGATCACAAGGTGACGTCCCACAGTAGACCATCTTCAAGATGAGGAGTAAGGAAGTCAGTCCCAGTTCCAAATTTTCAAAAATAGGGAAGCCGACAGTGCAGCCTTCAGTCTGTGGCAGAATGCCCAAGAATCTCAAAGGTGAAGAACTTGGAGTTCTATGTTCCAGGTCAGGAAGCATCTAGCACAGGAGAAAGATGGAGGCCAGAATACTCAGTCAGTCCCACATGCTTCTGCCAGCTTTTTATTCTTGCCTCTGTGGCAGCTGATTAGGTTGTGCCCACCAAGATTAAGGGCGGGTCTGCCTTTCTTAGTCCACTGACTCAAATGATATCTCCTTTGGCAACACCCTCACAGATAGACCCAGGAAAAATATTTTTCATCCTTCATTCCAATCAAGTTGACACTCAATATTAACCATCTCACCTTCCCCTCATTGAGAGGATACATCAGCACTCTTTTATTAAGTATTTTTTCTCTAGGTAAAGAAGAGGAGAAAATAATAATAATGATAAGTTATTATTATTATTTCTTTTTCTTAAATTCAAGGCTTTATAACAGCAAAGTCTTCTTGTGAACTCAAAATCACCATATCCAGTACTTGTCACCTGTGACACAACCTCTGTAATATTGTAAATTGTTCAAACTTTATTCTCAAAACTTTCTCATTTCCCTTTTAGTTTTTTCTCCTTCCTACTCTTGATTTCCAAAGTATTTCTGTCTCATCTTAATCCTATCAATGTTCAATTTCAAATGACTATAATGTTGGAATGGTTTGAGTGACTTCTTCTCATTAAGGTATAAATGATTGATTGATTCTTGTTCTGTCTTTTCCGGGGCATTTACATTTTAATAGGGAATAATTCTTTCATTCATGGGGAATAAGTTCTACAAGAGTGTCATTTCAAACTAGAGTAATAGGACAATGTGAAGGGAGCTTGGAATTGGAAAACCTTTCTTGTTCATTTTTCGCAAGGTTATATCCCATTGCTCATTACTTTTCAAGAGTTGAAAATTTTACCCTATACCTTATATTCTAGTGTCTCCAAAGTTAGACTTACTCTTCACAAACCTAAATTTATTTTCTGGAAATAATTTAAACACAGTTGCAATCAAATTAACTCTCTCATATCACTAAGGTAACCTTGAATGTATAGCTGTCATAATATGGAAAGTATCTGAGGTTGGTGAAATCAAAAGCCAAAATAAAGCAAGCAAAAAATAGCATCAAACACAAATACATAAAGCCACAGAAAGTGCAGTGAGACAACCTAATCAGCCATCCTAGCAGTAATATTTATGTACCTCCTAGCACTGTAGTAAATATTGTTTTATGCACATACACTTTTCCTTCGGCTCCAAGGAGAGATGAGATTTCTACGTACCCTTTTGCTGTACAACCCCAGTAAATAAAATGTACAGTACTCTTAAAACTATCCCAGAGAGACATGAAGATCACATCACAGGCATTCTTATTCTTTAAAACAATTTTTATGAATAATAAATCATACATAATTCTAGAGACAGGGCATACACATAAAGCTTGTGAACAACTTGTTTGTCTCTCTATCACAAAGGGCTGAATTTTAAATTCCATTATCTCACGTATCACTACACCTTTACAATTTCATTTTCTATAAAAACCACAGCAGCCCCAAAGTAATTTTTAAAATTAAACAAGATAATATATGCTAGCTGAGTCTATGTATATTATCAGATTGATTTGAAATAGAACATTTTAGAGTTCCACATAAAACTCCTAATATCTGAGGGAACTCTTAAAAATTTCATGCAGTTTCACAAAGTTCAAAGAAGCTTTGGTCATAAACTAACACTAATTAAGGTTATTCTTCATGAAACTCATGGGGCAGTGAAAAACCAAATTCATATCACAAAATTCCGTATAATATAAACTAATAAACATTAATAAATATTTTGTCTAGAATATAGATTCATATATGTATGAGTATTTTATTTACTGGTACCATTGGTAAAAAGTATTAATTTTTATACAGAACGGAGATTTGTATTTGACATAATCTTTTTGTAAAAATTTGTTATTAATATTTAGACTCTAAACATAATTTCAATTGCTGTGCTGACTAGTGTGCAATAAAAATATCTATAAAAGTAATAAAACTATAAATCTAGTGCTTAGATTATAAACAGAGATTTTTCATTCTTTCAAGTTTCCTTTATGGATTTGGAATTATTTACCCATTTATAAAGGATGCCAAATATCTGCAAATTCACTATGTCATGTTATATAGGTTTCCTAGTGAATTCTGAAGTTGCATTTACTTCTTCAAGAAAGTTCGGATGTCTTCTTGGCTATTGCTTTAAAACAGAATGCAAAATGCTACATAAGAATCAAAATTACATTCTTAAATATTTTTGTTTTTGATAATATCCTTGAATAATGGTAATATTACTTTATGAAGAGAATCATAATTTTTAATTTAGATGTTTGAGTCTTTATATTTAAAATAGACAGACTCCCTTACAACTTTTGGAGAGTAATTTATTTAATTTCAGGGAAAAACAGAAACATTAAAATACTTTCGGTTATTTCTCTGTGCCTTTCTCAATTTCTCGCGGAAATAATTAAAGATCGTAATTTTCTGACCTAATGATAAAACAGAATTTTTGTAGTTTAAAGAAATATTACGGAAATTCTCTTCAGTATGCATGTCCATGTCAGAATAAGTGAGAAGGAGAGGGAATTAAAAATAATTATTTTCCCTTTTGCTGGAGGAAATTTTATTTAGAGAATATCAAAAAGAGATTCTTTCTTCTTTGCCTAATGCACAACATGTTTTCAGCAATGTATTCAATTCTAATTTTATTTGAATTAGAATGCCATTAATGAGAAAAATAGCTGAACTGCTAACTCAAAGAAACAGCTACATAGAGGTTAATCAAGGTATATCTGCCTCAATTCAGTTTAACAATTGACAAAAATAAGTATTATCTTCTGAATATTTAACATAATTATGCTTTTCAGAAAATTTAAAAGTCTGCTTTTTGAACAAAGCTTCATGTAAATGTAAGAAACAAGATTCATACTTAATATTCATCAAAGCTTTTATAATTGACTCCGGATGTTATTTTAGCAATAAGTTTTCAAATACATTTTTTTTTTTTTGCTGGAAAACTAAGTTTTTAAAAGCAATCATCTAATCTTATTTTTATCTAGAATAATTTGTTGTCAAATTTTTATTATGTTAAATGGGAAAATTAATATTATATAAGTAATGAAAAATATAAAATATAGATCAAACGTTGTTGATGTTTGCTTAAGGAAGTTTAGCTTTAATTAATGACCCATTTCCATTAAAAACATAACAGATTTTTTTTCACTTTAACATTACCGCTAAGGTAAAATCCTGAAATGAAAATGAATGCAAAAGGTAACTAGGATTTGAAGACTCAACAGAATAATTTTAAATTGTACCCATAATGATTGAAGTGAGCAGTTAATGTTTATTTTATTGAATCAATAATGTTTAAACTTATTTTGCTTTCTTTTTCCCTAGGCCTTATCTGAAATCTCAGAATAAAACTGATAACATTTCTTGCTTTCTCGCTCATTTTATTTTTTCACTTTTGAAATTGCAACAGGATTGTATTAAGCAATTTTCTAAATATAAAGGGCCTTACAAAGCATAAGATGATGGGTAGGCCTGAGCCTCTGTACTGAGATAGTCTTAATTCAATATTTAGGTTTCTTTTGGCTTTAAGGCAGTTACTTAAGGTTTTAAAACCTCTTTTTTCTCCTCAGCAGAATTGTGATCATAATAGTACCTACCACACAGGGAGAGCTCCAGGGAAGGTTCAGTGAATCAAATGTATATAGAATGATTAACAGTGGTCATGACTGTGGCATTTTATTATTGACAGGAGAAGAGAAGAGTAACCAAACATTTCTACCCATCTAGTTTCCTCTAACTTCTTTTTGGAGGTCTCCAGCATGGTATGAATTATTGTGTATGGCCTTACTATTCTAATGAGTTACAGGTAGCTCATTGCCTCCTCTAACAGGTCTGTCAGGCAACTTGAAGGCAGACGTTCTCTCAGAGAAGTCCTGAGGTCTCTGTGCTCAAACATTTCCTCACCAGCAAGGCCTTGTTTTTCTTTTCTTCTTTCCTCTAACCTCCTTCTCCTGTTTTACTTACCTTCATGTCACTTATTACTACCTACTGTATTTCATGTTTTCTTTCTCTTCTTGTTAGAATAGTTGATATATGAAAACAAAGACTTTTTCCTGTTGTTCACTCGTGCCCTAGATCGTATTCTATGAAGCAGGCAGGTACTCATTAAATATATGGTGAATTAATGAGTAAATGCAATTTTTAATAACTAACTAGCATTCTATAAGGGTATATTTGGCAGCCTTTGATGGCAAATTCTATGTCTTAGTTTGTTCTCACATGGCTATAAAGAATTTCCTGAGACTGGATAATTGATGAAAACAAGAAGTTTAATTAACTCACAGTTCCACTGGCTTAACAGAAAGCATGACTGTGAGGAACCTCACAATTACAGCAGAAGGTTAAGGGGAAGCAAGCACCTCCTGCCCATGGTGGCAGGAGAGAGAGAACAAAGGAGGAAGTGCCACACACTTTTAGATCGTCAGATCTCATGAGAACTCACTCAATATCATGGGAACAACAACAGAAAAATATGCTCTCATGATCCAACCACCTCTTACCGGGCCAATTTGACATGAGCTTTGGAAGGGGATACAAACTCATACCATATAGTTCCACCTGTGGCTGCTCTCGAAGATCAAGTCCTTCTCACCTTACAAAATACAATTATTCCTTCTCACCAGTCCCTCAGTCTTAACTTATTTCAGCATCAACTCAAAACCCACAGTCCGAAGTATCATCTGAGATGAAGGAATGTCCTTTCCACCAGTGAGCCTGTAAAATCAAAAACAAGTTTGTTTCTTCCAAGATATAATGGCAGTATAGTCATTGGGTAAAAGCTCCCATTTCAAATGGGAGAAATTGGACAAAACAAAGGGGCTACTGGCCCCATGCAAAACCAAAATTCAGCAGGGCAATCATTAAATCTTAAAGCTCCAAAACAATCTCCTTTGACTTCATGTCTCATATCCAGGGCACACAGATGCAAGCTCCTGAGACCTTGGACAGCTCCATCCTGGTAACTCTGCAGGCCACAGCCCCTTTGGCTGCTTTCACGGGCTGGCATTGAGTGCCTGCAGCCTTTTTCCGTGCATGGTGGAAGTGTTCAGCCGATCTACCACTCTATGGTCTGGCTGATGGTGGCCCTCTTGCCACAGCTCCACTAGGCAGTGCCCCAGTGGGAGCTCTGTGTATGGGCTCTAACCCTAAACTTCCCCTTTATACTACAGTAGTAGAGGTTCTCCATGAGGACTCTGCCCTGCAACAGACTTCTGCCTGAACGTCTAAGTGTTTCCATACATCTCTGAAATCTAGATGGAGTTTCACAAACCTTAATTCTTGACTTTTACACACTCCTAGGGCCAACACCACATGGAAGGCACCAAGGCTTGGAGCTTGTACCATTGGAAGCCATGGCCTGTGCTGTACCTAGGCGCCTTTTAGTCATAGCTGGAACTGGAGTGACTGGGACACAGGTTACCATGTCCCAAGGCTGCACAGAGCAGTGGGGCCCTGGCCTGGATCAGGAAACTATTTTTCTCTCCTATGCCTCCAGGGTTGTGATGGGAGGAGCTGCCACAAAGCTCTCTGAAATACCCTGGAAACATTTTCCCCATTGTCTTGGTGATTAACATTTGGCTCTTCTTACGCACATTTTTGCAGCATTAAATTTCTCCCCAAAAAATGTTTTTTTCTTTCTACCACGTGGTCAGGCTACACATTTGCCAAACTTTTATCGTCTGCTTTCCTTTTAAATATAAATTCTCTTTGTTTATGCAAATGAACGTAGGCTTTTAGAAGCAGCCATATCACCTCTTGAACACTTTAACGCTTAGACATTTCTACATGAGAGTTGAGTGGGACATAAATCTAACCCATATCACTCTACTTATTAAACAACCCTCCCTCAACACCCACCCATAAAAGAAACATTCTTAAAATAGGCAAAATATTTTAGCTGCTTAAAGTTCACCAATACAATATATTTATTTCCTGGGAAATAGGGTGTGGGAAAAGGAAATGGAGAAAGAGAAGGAAGAATAACAGGAAGAGAAGGAAGAATAATAGGTATGAGGAAGTGTATTACCAAGATGGTTAAAGCATCATGATAGGAGACTTTTATGGAGAATACAAACCCCATAAAAAAGGCAACACAAAGGGAGGACTGTTTGTCTATAGGCTTTCATTTCTTTTGGTTAAAGTTTGCTTCCAAAACATTAAATGTCCTTCTTTTCCTGCCTCTATATTATAAACTCTGCAGATTATAGAAGTTCAGTGACATCCAGAAAACTTTGTAGAAGAATGCCCTGGCACATGGAACTGAAAAAAGGCACTATTGGTTTAGGCTCACATGTGACCTAAAGGCCAGAAATTGTTATCACAGATGATTCCCATATCTGTAGCAAAGCCAGTATCTTGTTGCAATGACCAGGCTCCATGACCATGGTGAAGACATGTTCCAGTTTTTTCTAGCGCAACCCCAAATGGAAAGCTGGACAAGGGTCCAGACCTGGGTAATGAATGAATTAAATTCTGCACATGCTTTCAAACCTCCATGTATGCTAGAAAAGTGTTCTGGGATTTTAGCACCAACTTTTCCAGACTAGAGTTATGTAAGTCCCCAAAACTCTAAAAATGTGAATTCAAACACACTAAGGTTTTTAAAGTGCCTTGTTCTTTCTTTAAAAAGATTATAGAATAAAACAAAAAAATTCTATGATAAAAGTCTCATTTGTACTAGAAAATTTTTAAATGGACAGTTAATAATGACATTAATTGATAATAATGTTGTAATTTATAAACATTATTGATTATCCAGCTAACAATGTCAATTCCTCTGTTGCATTTAGGAAGAAATTATATTGAAGTACACAATGGACACATTTAATCAAACATGAGGTACCAGGTAGCATCAGGTATAGCTCTTCCCCATATAATAATGTAATAATACTCCCCTATACCTGAGAAGAACCAGTAAGGAGCTTGCAGGTATAACAAAGGCATAGAAGAAATATTCAGCTTTCTTCTAGATTTTATTCAATTATTTAAGATATTACCTTGAATCTTGAGTTTCTATGTCAGTTAATCTAAGAAGGGAAGAGAAATATTTTTATGTGTATATGATGTATGTTATTTAAAAATATCTTCCCTCTGTGTGAGGAGGAAAATCAACATTATATTAAAGAGAAGGGGTATTTGCTGTTGTGAACGGTGATTATTCTAATATCTATTACCAGCATAACTTGTTTTAGCACCAGCTGGATCTAGAAAATAGGTAGTTAATATCAATGACCAATCTAAAACTTGTATGGCACACCAATGTTTATTTAACATTCAAACTTTAGAGTTGAGCACATGCAACTAAGCCTAAACATAGATGTTTCAAAAGTAATTTGAGCAATAAATATCCTTCTAGAAGTGAGTAACCAAAATTTTAGATTTTATGTACCATAAAAGAGATGTCAGTCTTGACTAAGAGCAAGACATTAAAAAATATATATTTATGTATATATTTATATATATTATGAATATATATTTCTAGACATACAAATATATATTTTATAGTGTAAAATATATATTTCTAATATAAAATGTACATAAAAATACATTCACATGTGTATTCATTTTTATATATATATATATATATATATATATATATATATATATATATATATATAGTTTGTAAGTGTATTTTTAAACATCTTGCTCTTAGCCAAGACTGACTTGTCTCTATCATGGTGCATAAAATCTACATTTTTTTTTTTTTAGAAAAGAATACCCTATTGAAACAGTATCTCATTTAACAATGGAGCAAAATACAATTTGACTTGAACCTGTCCAACCTGCATCACTGCTAATGAAAGAATTTATACATACAGAACAGGTGGGGGCGAGGTGAGGACTGGGATGTTTGGGTCCCTCTCTGCCAATATGAAAGAAGAAGAAGAGGAAGAAGAGGAAAAAGAGGAAGAAGAAGGAGAAGAAGGAAGATGAGAAGGAGGAGGAGGAGGGGGGAGGAGGAGGAGGAGGAGGAGGTGGAGGAGAAGAAGAGGAAGAAGACGATGACAAAATGACTCATACAGCCAGATTTGTTCTTGTTTTGTAGCTGGAGTGGCAGCCCTAGCTCCTGCTACAGATGAAAAGATAGAATACTGGAGGATGGGCTCCCTAGCCATAGGCATGGTGAGTAAGGGTCTGCTCATCCTTGTAGAGCAATGTACATGAGGAAGTCCAGCCCTGACCCTCTTCCTTTACCCACAGGCCTACCTGAAAGCGACTTAGGTGGCATTCTTACATTCACACAATGGTCTCTCCTTCATATATATGTCTTTATATATATACATTCACACAAATACATATATATATATATTACATATATACTACACATATTTTATACATATATACTATATATTACATATATAAACACACATATATATTTTCTTGGACATTTCCAATTTCTTTGTATTCAGATTCCCTTTATATGGTAAAGATTTTCATAATGGAGAAAATTTGATAAATTCTCACTCTAGTAATGGCTGAATACATTTTGATTCAAAAAGATGCAAATAATCTGACCAAAAAAATGCCTTTTTCAAACATATTCAATTAATGAATTTTAGCATGTTCAAAGAATACTTTGGAAAAACTAAAAGATTAAGATACAGCCATTGTTTAGAGTTGGATAACAGCATGAACATTATTTTCTTGACCATTTATTTGGTTTTTGTTTCATTTCTTACAGTGAAGCTATTTGATGAAACCACAGTAATTTATAAATTGCTTATGCCAAAGTGAATCAAATAGAAATTCTCAACCAGCTATTTGAAGGCAAAAATATGTGCAGCTGTCTTCATGTCTGTTAAACTGCTGTGGAAGACTGCTTTGTAAATAAGCACACCAGCAGCCAAAGTTTCATTCATCAAGAGCACCATAATTCATTGTTTAGTTTCTGGTTTCCTCAGATAATCAAACTCATAAAATATTAAGTAATATTTAAAAGGATCATTTTGAGTCTACATTCAGTGCAATTGTATCAAATTCCTTAAAATGTTTATATTCTTTGATCAATAATTTACTCCTTTAGGAATCTTTCTTAGGATAAATTGGAAAAATATATATATTGAGTATCATCATAATTTTCCCATAGTGAAAAATAAAAATTAATACATTCATGCATGTTTGTGTGTGTATACATACATATATACATATAAAATCTGTAACATATAGGGAATTATATGTCTTCAATATATATGTCATTCAAATATATGTCTTTTATTATTTTGATTGCATAAGTAACATTTTATATAAATATTTAATAAATACATATAATGAATTATTTATTTTAGAAATATAAAAAATATTCATAAGATTGAAAGGCACAAAGATAATTTAAGTTTTAACAAAAAGTTTTACCAATAAAAAGCATTTTCTGTGTGATATTATACTATAGAAAACTATAACATATTAAATTTTATATTATTTCATTTGTGTTAATAATAAATTGGTATTTATCTGAAGAAAAAAACGGCAGAAAGTCCACCAGTATATGAGTGGCTGTCCATAGATGATAATGCATGTTGTAATGTTTTATTTTCTATTTTATAGTCCAGAAGTATCACATATTTTCTATAATTATATGTAGGTTTTATAATAAAACACTTTAATTTTCTCAGAGACTAAATGAAGGTCAGTTTGAATTAAAAAAATACGTGAAAGCACCTAAAGTTGTATTTGATATGCTTAATTCTCTTTAACTTAAAATTTACTTTTAATGT